TGTTGAAGGGGAACCAGAATCACATTCCCTGTTTCATTTTCATTGTGCTTAGATAGCTCCTTGTAGTGTCCCTAAAGTAACATTCATACTAGACAAAGTGTTTTACTTCGTATTTCTGAACATTGCATTGCAATGTTAGGAGATGGAAACATTGGAATTGGTAGGAATTCACAGAATCTGTTATTTTAGACTTCCTACTCTGGCATCTAATGGTTTTCATTTGTTTACTTGCTTTCTCCTTAGAAGCAAGCATCCTTTATTATTTCTTTGAATTAATGATGTGTCAATTATTAGTCCTTTGTCTCTGTCAAACTGGCTAGTAGCAGCTAGAAAAAGGAGACAGATTGTTCATCTGGAAAAAAAGCATAAATGCTTTCTATGTTGTCACAGTTCCAGTGTTCTTGCTTCAATATTTATTTTCAGGATGAGAATGAAACTGAGAGTGCTTTGATCGGGCCTACTTCTGACCCTGCTTCGAACCTTCAGCCGACGAAGCCGACAGACTTTATTGCCTTCATAAATCTAGTGGAATTCTGCAGGTATTAATATGTTTTAATGTAATTTGGCAGTTACAGAGTGGTTGGAAGAAATTTGAAGTGAGATTTATTTAATCTGCCTGTTTCTGGCTTAGGACAATGTGCCAATTTCAAAACGCGCACAGTTTAGGAGGGAGGCAGTGTGTTTCAAACATCTGTAGAAACATACTAGCTCATCAGCTCAGGTTTTTTTGAAGAGTACAGGAGACAAATCTTTCATTATTTGGGTGTAATTGTCTTTCAGTATATGTTGTAACTTTTAGTATTGTATTGACCATACATCCTGACTACTTCAGAGACCAGAAATACCGTCTTTCTAGGGTGGTATTGGGCATTAAGTCAAAGGTACAGCATTGTTTGCCTGTGGAGGTCCAGTTGATTTCCCCTAGCAATGCTGCAGTCTTGGTAATGAAATGTGATACATGAGTATGTGTGTTTGTATAAATTCAATAACGAGAGCTAATGAGTAAGGGCTTTGCACTGTAAAGCAAAATAAAGATCTTCCTATGTTTGCCTCAGAAGGCAGCGTGTAATTATTGCCTCACTGTCTTTGGAGCTGCTCTGTTATGGCAGCACTTCTCTGTCCTGTACTGATTTGGAAGTTTGAAAAAAAATGAAAGAAATATTTTACTCAGTTTCTTTTTTCTTTTTTCTTTTCCCCTGTATGTTTTCTGCGCATCGTTTTAGAGAGATACTTCCAGAGAAGCATGTTGAATACTTTAACCCTTGGGTATATTCCTTTGGTTATGAGCTTATTATACATTCAACGAGACTACCTCTTATTAGTGGATTCTACAAGCTGCTTTCTGTTACGATGAAAATTGCCAAGAAAATAAAATATTTTGAGGTGAGCTCTCTTTTTTTTTTTTTTTTTTCTTCCCGCCCCCCCAAACAGAGGGGTAACATGTTGTGTTAATGATGGTGTCATTCTTTATATACAGCCTTTGGAACTGTATATAAAGAACTATGGAAAATAGTTCGTTGAAACTGTTACCCAGTTGTTTCCAGGGTTTATCGCATCCTATACCTCTGTGGTTACAAGCACATAGAAAGTAAAAATTTAGACTAGAAGCCCAGTTTCTGAAGAGACACCATCCATGTGTAATGCTCTTTCCAAAATCCTCAGCTGGATGAACAGAGGGGTGGGAAATACCCTTGCAGTGCGGGCGGTACAGAGGACAGCTTGGCTGTCAGAAGCAATCTAGCCAGAACAGCAGAGACACGTGTGGGTTAAGTACTCAGCTGCTGGGGTCTGCTTGTGCTGCACTCACTGATTTCCACCAGAAATGGGATGCTCTGTTGGTGGCTGCACCAGTTGTGGTATGGAAGGTATCGTAAAGTGACAGTGCTTCATCCCCATATAGCCCAGAACTCTCCCTGCTGCTGCTGGCGATGGCACCAAGCGAAGCAGATTTGGGAACTCCCTGGTGTAGATGCCTGTCCTGTAGATGCTGTTGTGAATTGCCCTTTTCTTATTCCACCAGCATTCTTGCCACCTGGACATCCACTCTTAGAGTTGTTTTTTCTTTTATGGTTTGTTAGATGGGCAGACAAGGAGAAAATTAAGCCATTGAGAAGTTATTTTTCAGTCATACATATCTTGCTTATTTGCTTATTAATATTAAGTGAATTCCAAAAAGTTGACCCTCGATGCACTGTGTTAATGTTAGCTTCTGAGTTTTGGGAGAACAAACATTTCAAGTTTTCACTGGCACCAGTTTCATATTGAGCAGTGATGTGTGTATAGTGAGTGGAACTTGTGCTTCACATTTGTACTGTGTACTACTTTTTTTTAATACTGTTGACTTGTGGTTTCTGTTTGATAGGGTGTCAGCCCAAGCAGTCTCAGAACATGTCCTGAAGACCTAGAAAAGAGGTCTTGCTTTGCACTGTTTGTAAAGTTTGGAAAAGAGGTAAGTGATTTTGCTGGCTACCTTTCTTAGTCTTAATATAAACATACATGACTCAATCTAAATTATTTCTTTTGAGAAATCTTACATATATGATAGAAGTATTCTAGCTGTTTGAATTATGCAAATAGTGGGGGTTTAAGATCTTTTTCTGTCTTTTTTTTTTTTTAATTTAACATCAGAAGAGATGTATTGGTCACCTATTCATGTACAGTTGAGAAATAACTGTCTATTTTTGCATTAAATACTTTCTGGTAACTGTCTGCAGGTGACTGAGATTCCACTATTATTTTTGAGTTGTTTATTTCACATGGATATTGATACAGTTAAATCAAGATCTTAAATGTTTATGATTGCTTTTGATCTATTTATCTGAATTTTAGGTTGCAGCAAAAATGAAACAGTATAAGGATGAGTTGTTGGCGTCCTGTCTGAATTTTTTGCTGTCTTTACCGCATGACATCATCATGCTTGATATCAAAGCATATATTCCCGCCCTGCAGGTGGGTCACAGTGATGTACAGCTAACTTTTTTTTTTTCTAAAACACATACAAAAATTCTGGAGCAAAGTTAGTATCCTGTGGAGCAATTAAGGTAACTGTTAAGCTTTGTACTGCCTTCAGAGGGACAGAATACAAATGACTTGACTTTTTCGATAAACAAGTAAATTGTCAGATTTTGCTTTTGCACTGAGCTGAGTCTGTTAGTGCCTGTGTTGCCATGTAATGTGTATCTCACGTGCTGATCTTGGGCGAGGTGTTAAACAGACAACAGTTATTAAGAAGGAAGATGTATTTTATGCTAAATGCTTTCAAATATTTTCCTTTTACCTTTAAATAATAATAGTCAATAAAAATGAAAGACTGACAGTTTTACGTTTCTCACGTAGAATGCATTTAAGCTGGGCCTTAGCTGTACCCCAATGGCTGACCTGGGACTGGATGCTCTGGAAGACTGGTCAGCTCACATCCCCAGACATATAATACAACCCTACTACAAGGATGTTCTACCTCTTCTTGATGGTTATTTGAAAAACTCTACATCTACAGGTACATAAAAGGAAAAAAATGTTAGTCTCAAGGGAGAAGAAAATGTTTTTTTCATAGTTACGCCTGAAGATACGGATGTGACATATTTTTGTCTGTATCGTGTGCTTCCTGTGGTTGCAACAACGTAACTTCTCTTACACCCCAAAATTTACCCTTTTCTTAAACTAGGATTTATTTACTACTGCTGAACAGTCATTAATTGTAGCCATTTTATATGCCGTTTCTCTGTGGTTTGTCCTCTGTATCCTTAAATCAGCTTAATTTTCACTAATAGCGTTTTATTTTCCCTGATAAAAATTTTAAATGAAAGAATAGTTGTCACATCTTAAAAATAAAACTGTGCAAAACCAGGGTGGGTTTTTTTAGAGAAACTATGAGTAGGTGCGTGAGGTGCTGGTACAATAAACTAACATTAGTATGCTGGTTTTTTGTTCATCAGTTGAATCTCAGAATAACTGGGAAGTAAGGAAACTTTCTCGAGCAGCCCAGAAGGGATTTAATAAAGTTGTGATACAGCGTTTAAGAAAAGCAAAGACTTTTTCATTGGTAAGAATGCTGTTTCTTTTTAGAGTTAAATGTGAGTTAATCCCTTCCCGCTGTTTCTCTTCCTTTCTTGCATGCATGCTTTTTTCCCGAGGGTTGTTTCTACCTTAGATTGGTTCACTGAATGCCGTTCTGCAGCGTGGCTCGAAAAGCTGTTACATCAGCACAGCTGGAAAGATTTCATATGCTAGGGTGAGAATGGGAATGAAGCAGGGAAAGGGAACTGAAGAAATCCTGTAAGTCAGCATCACTGCTAGACTGATATATTGTGGAAACAAAAATTTAACTCCTGCCACCTCAAATCAGGTCCCAGCTTAGCAGTGGTGCAGTGTGCGAAGACCATTTTCTGAATGTGTTACTGGTTTTGTTTTAATTATCTTGTGGATAGGTTCAGTCCTAGAAGTCAAACATATGTATCATTTTGACAAGTGGATTCTCAAGTAGCTCAGAATAAGTGTAGTTTTATTTGTATATTCCAGTGCGCAAACTAACTTGAAATGAGCCTTTTTTAGGCGTGAAACTACTAGTTATATGTTATACATGAAGTCTTTCCAACCTAGTGGTCTTTAAACAAAGTGAGTAAATTTGACATCCCATACAGGCTGCTTATGAAAATTGGTTGTCTACTATAGATACAGGATCTAAACTTGTAAGTTCTGGGATTAAAGCAAATGAAAAGGGTAATTTTTACTTCAGATTTCTTTCTGCTTTTTGTTGTTCTGTAGGTATGTGTTGTCTGTGATGATAAAATTTTAACTTTATTTGAGAAATGGCAATTGAAAGCCCACAAAACGTGATGAAAATGTTTCCCAGTCTTGCTCCCTTCTGCTTATTGAACTAAAACTGTTGTTCTTGTCTGATGTGGTGGTTTTTGCCACAGATTCTTGTTTTTACCTTCTTCATCTATGTGTTAATAAGAGCCGTAAACCCTTCATTTACTATATAAACCAAGTTACTTCTATATGGAAGTTACTCTTCCTTCACTAATATAAATCTGTTGAATTATTTAGGATGATAGCCCCTCCTTGGAAGCAGTGAGGACTAGAGTGGCACGCCTTCTTGGATCTTTGGGAGGGCAGATCAACCACAACTTAATTACAGGTGAGTGCCCTGGCAGTGTAAATAAAAATATTTACGTGCCTCTGCTGTGTCTCTTGACAGTAGATTTCAGTGAGTTCTCAACATGACTTTATAAGAATGCTTGAGCTTTTCAAGGAAAGCTGTTTCTTGTTGCTCTTGTTTAAACAAAGTTGCTTTTATTCAATTCTGGAGTTTAGGAGAGCAAAGTATTCAGTAACTTGCTATGGAATGCGGAAAGTGTGTAGAAAACTTCAGTTAAAGGCAAAAAAATATATACATCTGAGTGTGTGGCTTTATTTATTCCACCCTTCACCCTCTGGCTGCAAAACTTTTTGCCCCAGTTTGTAACTCTTTAGTACTTGTTTCCACCTTTTTTACTACAATTCTCATTTAATCCAGTTTTTCAGAACTGCAGCCTGTGAGTTGTGTAAGTCTTGGCAAGCTCACTTCTTCGCTTGTGAGTTTAAGGTGCACCAGGCCTTTAGTATGTCCAAGTAGTAGGGCTCCACTTCAGTGCCTCCTCGAAAAAAAACCGTTCTCTTTTCTTCTCTGTTCAGTCTGTGAGTAAGTTTGTCTCCAAACTTACCTGTATTGAAGCTGGAGGCTGCTGCAACTGTCTCCTGAAATGATGGCTGCAGTTATTTTTTCCATGTGGTGGCAAAACATCTGTTTGGATGTGCAAATAAAACCAACCTTCTAACATACTTCTGGTGCTTGCAACTTCCAGTAGTTTCTGAAGCATTAACAACGTATGGAGATCTAACTGAAGCTGGAAGGTTACAGATCTTTTGACTGAGCTATGGAAATACTTGCTCTGTGTGTATTATATAAAGCTTATTTTTTGTTTTGATCTTTTGCAAATGCATTAGCTACCTCTGCAGAAGAAATGATGAAGAAATGTGTATCCTGGGACACTGAGAAGCGTCTGAGCTTTGCTGTGCCGTTTGCAGATATGAAGCCTGTCATCTACTTGGATTTATTCTTGCCTCGTGTGACTGAACTGGCTCTTTCTGCAAGTGACAGACAAACAAAAGTACTGATGTTTTTCCTGCACCTTTTTTATGCTAGTTGATAAATACTGCATAAAATAATGTCTTCCTTGTTGAGAAAGAGCTGTTTTAATTAATTCATAGGTAGCAGTGTGCTTCTTTGGTGCTTGTTCATGATGACGTTCTGTTTAAAAACTAAAGAGCAGAAGTTGCTGTAAGCTCTATCAGACAGCGTTGTGCTTTGAGAGTTAGACTTAACATAAACCCAAAAAATTTAAACTAGTTGATCTTCAGTGTTGTTTGGCCTCCTTTTCATGCCTAGCCTATGACCCTGTGGGCCCAGGCCAGCAGAGCACTTAAACAAATGTTTGGCTGGGTTGGGATGTTGACACCCAAAGAGAGTCCAGAACAGAGATATTCTTAAACATGATCCTGGGTGACTTACACAGTGATGGATTTTCTCCAACTGAAAAGCGACTGCCCACGATAGAGACCAAAACATTAGGAGGAAGATCAGTTGAAATGTGCTTAAATTATTTCCATGGACGTGATCTGTTCCTGGAACCGTGATTTAGCATAGATCAGAGTGATTTCTCGAGTACATCCTTTCTTGTGGTTCATTCTCTCCTGCCCACAGTTTTGTCTTGTGTGAGAAAGTAATGCATGCATAACCAAAGGGACTTTTAAATTTCAGGTTGCCGCGTGTGAGCTGCTCCATAGCATAGTCACGTATATGTTGGGGAAAGCATCTCAGATGCCCGAAGGACGTGAGGGTCCCCCACCCATGTATCAGTTACATAAGCGAATATTTCCAGTGCTGCTTCGTCTTGCTTGTGATGTAGACCAGGTAAACAGATTCATTTGTAAGTGCTTTAGCTTGTTTAAAATACCTCTAAATGGTGGGATTAATTTGTAATTTTATTTAGAAGTTATCCTGTTGGAAGGTATCCTGAGACCTTGCCTTTTTTTTTCTTTTTTTCCCCCCCAAATGTAATATATTTTGTAAGCTGAAATTCTATTTCAGGGTTAGTTTTCCAGGATTTTAGGGGTGGGTGGAAGCCTTTTCAAAGACTTCAGTGAGGGAGTGTAATTCAGAGTAACTCGGAGTGTACAAATACATGAGGGTTTCAAGATTCAAGTTTCAAGCTTCATTCAAAGAGTTTGTGGTAGTAGCTGCTCTTTATCGCTGTATTTAATTTCGGTATTTTTCTGTAGTAAGTTAATTTGAGGTGAGGTTGGTTATTTCAATATTGAAACGGTGCAAAGCTGCAATCCACAAGAAGAGCATTTGGGAGAGACTTTGTAGCTGCCTCATTGATGGCTGAGGATGAAATATTTAATTCAAACCTCTGAACATCTGAGGTGTTCCTCCTCCTTTAAACAAAACAGAACGGTCACATAGCTTCAGCTTTGCTGAAATTACAGGTCTTGTGCCTTTTCACACTGTTTGTACCCTGGCATCCAGGTTCTGGTTTTAGACCAAAGGGACTTTGTGTTCTGTTAAAATATACAGGAAGCTGTGTTACCAATTTAGATGAAACCCCTTTTGCTGGCATATGGCTGAACATAAACCATGGGTAAATAATAAACCAATGCCCACAGGCATACACGCTGTTTTATAAACATTTATGTATATGTACATATATAAGTACATTTAATGGTTCTTTATGTAGTAGTATGACAGTGTTCAATCAGGTCAACTTACAGGTAGAATTGTTGAAATCCAGGAAGTTAGAATAATGTATATGGTAACGATTAAGAGATTTTTAGATCAAAATACAGCTTGAAAACAAACTTCCATGTTTCTCTGGCTGAATGTTGGCACATCAGTCCGTGGCATGCGATGTTCTTTGTCTCAGGTGATCTTACTGAAAGGAAACTTGGAGATCTTTTGAGACTAGTTGAATAGAGAGCAGCTCACCAGACTGTTTTGGTTTTTTTTAGGTTCTTGATATGGGAATGTAATATGAAGCTGATTGTTCATTTTATAGACCCTTTTTCAGAGAAGTACTGGGTTTTATTCTTGCATATTTTGAATAGCGAAATAGCATAGAAATATATTCATCCTAGAAATGTAGTCGATGTTTGCTCTTTGCAGGTAACAAGACAGTTGTATGAGCCTTTAGTCATGCAACTCATTCACTGGTTTACCAACAACAAAAAATTTGAGAGTCAAGACACAGTGGCCTTCCTGGAAGCTATCTTGGTAGGTCATAAGTCTTCCTTCTCTCTTTTTCTCTGTGCCATGTGACTTTGATTTTAACTAGCATTATTTTACTACTGAAAGAACGAGGAACACATGAACAGATATAATGGCTTCTTAGTGGTTTGAAAGAAGGAAGACGGTTTATCATTTTATTTTTTTTTAATGACTATTTAATGTTTCTTAACCAAGATTTTGATGATAGATTTCTCTTCTTTCTTTGGCATTCTTAAAATGCAGGTGTAGCATCTTTGGAGTCTTTATAGGAGTAATGAAACGCTCTTTTTGTCATCAGTGTATACAAGAAACTCCTAAAATACATCCACACCCGCCTCTAAGGAAAGTTTGTTTTGATGTGTGCTTAACTTTTCCTCTTCAGTTTCTTTGCTTTGAGCAGGTGCAAAAGCTTTAAACGTAGAAGGGGCTTTTGCACTGAGCTGAAGGATGGAGGCAAGCTGGGTCAGGGGGTTTTGCAGTACTTTTTGTAAATGAAAGCCAGGGTTGTCACACCACTTCTCAAGCAGAGGTAACTGGCCCAGCAGAAAATGAAGTGACTTAGACAAGACTCCTAAACCGGTAGCTGAGACAGGAGTAGAAATCCAGATCTTTGAGGCCTAATCCGGTGCTGTGAGGGCTGGAAATGCTGCCTTTCCCTTGGACAGTAGTGATTTTGAAGCGTTGTAATTTCTGGGAAACTGTGAGTACAGTTTTTTAACTTACAAATAATACCATGTAAATAAGCTGCTCTAATGCTGCACTATGACAATAGCGGGGTGGGGTTTTTTTCATTCTTGTAATGAAATAATCTTGTGTAATTTCAGAGTGGCATAGTGGATCCGGTTGACAGCACTTTGAGAGATTTCTGTGGTCAGTGCGTACAGGAATTTTTGAAATGGTCTATTAAGCAGACCACACCGAGGCAGCAGGAGAAAAGCCCAGCAAACACCAAGTCTCTTTTTAAACGGTTGTATAGTCTTGCTCTTCATCCCAGTGCTTTCAAGAGACTGGGGGCAGCACTTGCTTTTAACAGCATCTACAGAGAATTTCGGTGAGCAAACAGAGCTTGAAATAGTAACTAGCTTGGACTAAAGGTTCAAAGAGATAAAAAGAATTAAGTGGAGAACTCAAATAGGCATTCACTGACACTCGTTCTATTAATGTATATAGCAGCTGTAAAATTGAGTTACTCAGCTTATTAATTTTTAATTATCATTTTGTGTTTGGGTGTTCTGCAAGTGGGGAGCATATAAATTTAAATTTCTATCACAAGTCTATGGGAAGTTGTTTATGCCTTTTAAAGGTGGTCAGCAAATTTCATTGCTGTTTTTTAAAATGGTTTAGATGTGGGGTTTTTTGTGCAAACATCTTGTGCAGCTTTAATCTCAACAGTATTTTAATTTGTTTTTTTTAATTAGAATTTCACACTTAGTGCTTCTTCTAGTCATGTGTCTTATTAAATTTATTCCTGATTTTTAAAGGGAAGAAAATTCTCTGGTGGAGCAGTTCGTATTTGAAGCATTGGTTGTATTTCTGGAAAGTCTGGCCTTAACCCATACAGATGAGAAATCATTAGGTGAGCTATAATTCATTAACTATGGAATGAAGAAAAAAGCCATCATGTTGAATCTTGGATTAAAGAAGAAAAACTGCTATAACTGTAGGAAAAGTATCAACTCCTTGCAACATATAAAGGTGGAAGATTTTAGGCCCAGGAGAAAGAACCTTTTCATGTTTACAATGATTTACAGTTTTGCAGTAACACTGAAAATGCTTGTGGTGCTTCTGATTTGAGTCCTGGTTTTGCAATTAGTGTAAAAAGGTAGCTTGATAAGAATCTTGAAGTCTACTCTTTTATAACAGACAAAATGCTCCAAAAATTGACTTTTCTATGTATTCTGTGAAAGATTTCCACCGTTTTGTAATATCCTTTCCTGGTTGCCTTGGCATTCTCTGCAACCGTATGTAGCTACGTGAAGAATCTATGACGTCTTCCACATGGCTAATGATTTTTCAGCAAACCTTTTTTTTCTTTTTTCTTTTTTTTTTTTTTTTTTCCCCCATGCTCTGACTTTCATCAATTAATAGTAATTAGAACATAAAGCCAAAACCTGATGTTACAAAGCTTTTTTTTCTATCAGAAAAACAGTTCAGGGTATGGTAGAAGTGGCTCCAGAAGAAATACTCATGTGAGAAAGTTTTACAGTACTTCTAAGCATGATCGCAGAAAGTAAAATACACAGTTACATCGCAGGCCTCAGAGCTGGCTAAGGCCATGTCTGCTGTTTTATGGTTTTGTTCCTTGGCCTTGAAAAATTTACGGTAGAAGCAAAGAGTAGTGGAGTTGGTCAACATTATCCTGTGTGTAAGTCTCTTGCACCGTTTCCATAGTGCTAATACCTCAATTAATTTAACCAAGTTGCTAGCATTTATTTATAAATGTCAATTCTCTCTTTCTAACAGGTACCACTCAACAATGTTGTGATGCTATTAATCATCTGAAGCGCATAATCAAGCATAAAGCACCTTCTCTGAACAAGGAAGGGAAACGGCGAGTACCACGGTCAGCAATTTGCCTTTTTTTGGATTTGTTTTTTTTTTCTTTAATTTTACAGTTTAATAATGATGCATGTAGTTCTGTTAAACACTTGGGATTCTGAATGAGGAGTTCATCCTGTGATGCAGATCTGATATGTCTGTTGAACCACTGGTGGGAAATGCTGGATGTGATACTAGAGGATCATGATCACCATTCTTTATTCCAGCGTGGTGAGCTTGCTTTAGTCTGGCAAGGACAGGCAGAAAAGAAAAGCTTAGTTCGCTCACATCAGTGTTTATAATAACGTTAGCACCGGTGATACACAGCACTTGGAGGAAACTCCTCCAAAGTCTTTCTTATTGCTGTAGGAAGTAGGACAAGCTGCGACAGGATGAGCAGCGCTTGAAGAGGGGTAGCAAAAAAGGTGGAAGAAGCAAGAATGGATTCAGTATCGGGCTGGATGAAGCTCCATCACCATGTCTGATGGCATAGCTGACCCTGCTTTGAGCAGGAGGTTGGACTAGAGACCTACTGAGGTCCCTTTTTGCCAGAGTTACCATGTGATCCTAAAGAAGCAGGCGAGTGGAGTCTGAGAGTTAGCTCACTGATGTGACATTTGGTAAGTTAGGAGACTGGTTAATTAGGGGTGAGGAAAAAGTGTGCGGGCTTATTTAAGCTTTCATCTCCTTTTTTGTCTCGTTGAGCGTTACAAAGAGAAAGAAAGAGGCTTGGTTCTGCTTTGTAAATTGTTGCCACAGAGACTGGGCTCTGGGAATGCAAAGCAGAGTGAGGAGAAGGGAAAGCAGTGCGAGATGTGCTTGTAGAAGAGCTCTTCCTTGTGGCTAGATAGATATTCATAACACTTGTGGAATGTTTTGATTTTTTTTTTTTTTTTTTTTCAACTGGAAGATTATGGCTTCCTGGTAGATGTCAAGAGGATTGTTAATCCGTCATATTTTTTGTGCAGAGGATTTCCAGCTACTAAGTCAGTGTGTCTTCTGGATGTCATCATGTGGCTCTTGGTGCAGTGTGGACGACCTCAGACAGAGTGCCGACATAAAGCCATGGAACTCTTCTATGAATTTGTTCCTTTATTACCAGGTATTTTAAGTCACAATGCCCTATTATCTTTCCTTCCTAAATGCTGTGCATGCCTTCCCTCTGTTTTCTGCGTGTGCAAAGTATTACTTACAAGAAAAATTATTTTTGAGGTAAAAGTCTGGTCCCTCAGTGCTATTAAATAGAAACTGAGTAGTTGCTCATATTGGAAATCAAATACTGTGAGAACCTCAGGGTTTGTGGGATGTTCGTGGGCGTAGAGGGGAGTTTTATTGCAAACTTCCTTCCAGCCAGGAAGGAGAACTTAGAGGCCCAGAACTGCTGCTGTATCCAGCTATGAAGGCAGTGTTTGACTGGGAACTAGTGGGGGTGTCTCACAAACTGGCCTCTTCCTTGTGGGTTGTTTAAGTAGTATGACCAAGGCTAGACCAGAACCAACACCTTCTCTGCTAGATGATCCAGTTTAAAACACAAAGTCTATTTGCCTCTAATTCCTTGCTAGTTTGAAATGTGTTTTTCCTAAAGAATTTCTATTTCTGTGTTTATCAGGAAACAAGTCTCCATCTTCTTGGCTGGCTGATATTCTGAAAAACCGAGACGTTTCTTTCCTCATTAACAAATTTGAAGGAGGAGGCAGCGATGCCAGAAGTCCATCTGGGATCCTTTCTCAGCCAACTCTCCGTGGTATGCAGGAGCCCTTCAGTTTACAGACTGTCATGCGGTGGCTGGATATGTTCTTAGCAGCGCTGGACTGCTACAATACCTTCTTTGAGCTGCGAATGATCAAACCTCATGAAATACTGGGTGAGTGATTAACTGTTGCATTAGGTTCATTCACGTCTGTTACACAAAGCCCGTCCAAGCCAAGTTCCTAACTTGGACTTTTTTCTTGAATGTAGAATTGATGAATTTTATAAACTCTCCCGCAGGTTTCAATGACTGTTGTTGTACTGGATGTTTTTTGATGAAGAAGTACTTTGTTAATAGTGTATCTTAAAGTGTTTCCTTTTAGTCCTAGAAATATAACTTTACATTTCTGTCTTTCAGTCATCCACTCACCAGCAACTTCTTTTACTCTATCTCATCTTCAAAAATTATTCTGTATGGCTGATTTCCCAGAGGGCGGCAATAGAGGGGTTTTTGTGGGTGGTTTTGTTGTTGTTTTTTTTTTTTTTTAATCCTTCCAGAGCTGTTTACCTGCTCTTTATTAATGTTTGGAGGGAGCTATCAGAAAGCAATGAAAGAAGTCCTCTTTTCACTTCAAGCCCAGTACATGTTACCTTTTTTTCAGTTCCCAATGCTTCAGCTGCATCAGGTCCAAAAGCCTTGTGTTTGAATTTTGATCAGGTGCATAATAATACCTTGTGTAGCCATTGGGTCTCTCAAAAAGTTTTTCTTTTAATTATTCATGCAAGTCTATAAACCAAATGCTTTTCATCACCAATAGTACAGATGTTTAGTTACTTCATACATGAAGTCTTGTACAAGTTCCATGTAGTCTGCCTGTCAGTGTCATCTCTGTCTTGGTTTAAAACAGTACTGTAAGATCATTGCTGGATGCAGTTGGCTAAATTATTCAAAATTAGGGATTTTAGATTTTATTACACATGCTTAAATCATCATCATTAGTAAGTGCTTGTAGTGATCAGTAAGGAGAAAGCTACTCTTCACTGCCCAGAATGTTAATATTTGGAGCCAGTGTAGGACTTCCAGAAAACACTGGTGTGAGGTGTGGTGGCTTTCTGTTTATCTCAGTTTCACTGTTTTCTTCCAAACATAAAATAATATATTTAAAAGTTGAGAGCTGCTGTATCATTTCAACTTAGTATGATTCTTCTTAGGTGCGAATGAAAGATCCTCATTCTTGGAATCCGTGCAGTTCTTCCTTGAAACGATCGCTTTGCGCGATATCCACGCGGCAGAGCAGTGCTTTGATTGCCGTTCGAAAGGCAGCTTGTTCAGTCCACATGAGAGAGACCTGTATAATTACAGCAAGTGTACCATTATTGTCCGAATTATGGAGTTTGTCACCATGATCTTGGAAACATGCCAGCAGGATTTCTGGAAGGTAGGCGCTGAAATCTGTAGTGGGTAGATACAGATTTTATATGTAGTTAAAGATTTGTGTTTCCATTGTGAGGTTAATTCACTGGAGAACATCGTCTTTAGTGGTGGTTTTATCCAAATTGATGACTAAGTGTCACAAACTGTTCTGGTCTTCACGTGCAAGTGAAAAGGATTATATTGCTCAGTGGAATTTTAGTGGGTGATATAGTTTTGGTTGGAGGAATTAGTGTTTCCTGTAGATGTCAGTTGTATATTGACTGTGAGATTCCTGTATGTTGACTATGAGATTTATTCTTCTGGAGTACCTGCAATGAAGATTTCCTGTATGACTCCTGATGGCCTTAAACGTGTGGAGGTGATTGCCTTTCTGCCTTTTAAGCAGCTGATTTTGGCAATTCTTCCTTGAATTCAATGTAGATGTTCAGATCTCTCCATTTGCCTAGCTTTGATGCAATATAAACTCTGTTTAACTATATAAAGTATGGTACTTGTGAATCTTTTATGAAACTTACACTGCCGAGTTTAGTTCTGAGACCGTCTCCTGTTAACAGTAAACCTCTATTAAAGTTCACAGATTTGTGCATCTGGATTCCAAGGTGATTGCAGGTGTATGATCAAGACTGAAACAGGCCTATGTGGACCTAAAAGATCTTACGTGCAGTTTGATGAGATAGCATATGTCTATGTATATTTTTATAGATAATTTCTGTGTATTAGCAGGATGGAAAGTCGGACATTTCATAGAGAAAGAAAATGTCACTTAGTGAGAAAAGTTACTGTTCCAGGTTTGGTTTCATTTTAGATAGAAGGACTGATCATTAAGTTATGAAGAATAAAATACAGAAGTCTAAATGAATTTTTAAACGAAGCTTTTATTTAATGTTTTATTCTGTCTAGCTACTGGAGAAGGAACTGCTTAATGCAAGCCTTATAGAGCTTCTGGTGGTGACAGTGTGTGATCCATCACACATAGGCTTCAACACGGCTGATGTGCAAGTCATGAAAAATCTCCCAGATATCTCAGTAAGACTCATGAAAGCTTTGATGAAATCTCCCTACAAGGAGTCTTTGAAACTGTGCATAAAGAAACGAATCACACCACAGAGGTCAGTAGGGGCATTCTGGTAAGCATGACTCCAGAACAAATGCCACTCACCATGAAAAATGGAAAGTGAACAATGTTGTGTAGGGTTGCACATGGAGCTCCCCACCAAGGTGATGTTACTGCTTCTCTTTTCTCCTTAGCCTTGAGGACCTTTGTTCGGTTGATCTGTTTAATTCAGATGCACGTTTTGATCAAGTTAAGTTTAGTGCTGTCCTTTCTGCCTGCAAGCAACTCCAGAAAGCTGGCCTGCTTCGTTCTGTTCTTCACGATCAGGTAATTCTTTTTCCAGAAAATAATGGTGAATATTTTTATACAGCAAAGAGCTTTACCTGTGTAAAAGGCCAGTATGAAAACAGAGAACAAATCAGATGAAGAAGTTGTGTAAAATGAGAGCAACAGTGAAGAGCTGGTGGTGAATGGGATCAGAAATAAACGTTTTACGTTTATTCTGCAAATCTGAGTAGCACAATGCTGAGGGTTTGAACGATCTTCATAACTGTGTCTGTCTTTCTGCACTTTCCAGGTCCTGGAGCCAACCAGAATCTACCTAAAACTTCCTTTTAGTGAGCTTCACAAGACTGAAAGCTCACAAAATCAGGATTTGCTATCCTATAAAGGAGGCATTTTTCAACAATTTTTAAACAGAGATCTTTCCAAGTGATGAGGGAAATTAGAAAAGGAATATAGTGGGTCTGAGTGGCAGGAGAACAGGGTAGAGAGCAGTTGGGGTGTGGGGGTCTAGGCTATATTACTTGACTTCTCTCTACTAAGTTTCTGATTGTAGTAAATGTCTGGTTTACTCTGGGCAATTGAAGGAGAACAGACTAGGCCACAGCCACAAGAACTGAGAATTTGTCTCCTGGTGAGCAAGGCTATATTTAACAAGTAACAAAATACTTGATTTCTGTGGGGTGTTTGCCATCCATCCTCCACATCTAAACGAAAACTGGAGCTGTGCTTGTAGGACAGTGATATTCAAGCACCTGCATGGTTTACCTTTTGTGGCCCACTGGTTTTGAGTAAGCTCTTCAGTTTATTCCTGTAGGAATAGTGTTACCTGAAAAAAAAATCTGGGGGAGGATTAGAATCTTTTGAAGACTTTCAAATTACTATTAGTTTGTTCTGAGCTTTGTACATGACAGGGTTGTCTTGTTAAAAATCCTGTTCCTCAGAAAGGTGTCTTGTCGTGGTATATTTGCATTGCTTTATAGAAAATGACCTGAGTGTTCTCACTAGCTGTAGAGATGGATTGGAAGCCCTTTATGTTGTTATTTTTTCAGCTTATATTAATTGTCCCTTGTTTGTTTATTTATTTCCATAGGATGAAAGGCCTCACTTCTCAGTTGGCTCTAAGCTTCTTTCAGTTGTTTACAAGGGCATTGCACCTGGGGGTGAAAGGGTGTCTCTTCCATCGTTAAACGTCAGCAGTAAGCGATTAGCTGAGAGACTCCTGCAGCTAGCCTTCGCTATTGATGACCAGGTAGGGTACGGTTCTCCAGTTTTAATACTCAATTATTGTTTAATACTCATCATCAGTAGCCTTCTACCCATATTTTGGGTAAAGAGGCTGATGTTTTACTCCTGCACAGGAACTGTAAGGATTCTCTGGCTTAACTGAGTGACAATTGTAGATAACAAGCATTTCAGTATTCTGTTTGTGCTTTATTTTTGTGCTTTCTGTTAACAAAAACCAGTTTGGGATGGGAGCTTTAAAGAACTCATGCGCTTTTCTAAGAAATGAGTGACATTTAATGTGCTTGAGGTAACTCTGTCTCTATACCTTAATTTTCACAGTGTGAGGAGCTAGTAAGTCTGCTGTTGAACACAGTAGTGTTATCTGTGCCACTGTCAGGAGCATCCCAGAGGAACCTCATCGCTTTCTCTCATGGACAGTATTTCTACAGCCTGTTCTCAGAAACCATCAATCAACAGCTGCTGAAAAACCTGGATGTGATCATAGTCCAGCTTATGGAATCATCCATCAGCCATCCCCAAATGGTATTGGACTCCTTTAAAAGGACAAAGTGAAAGGGGAGTGTTAGAAGTAATACTTCTTTTGTTGTTACAGGTGGATGTGACTGAGTGTGTGGTGGGGAAAAAGTGCATTTGGTTGCACTTCAGACAGCATTGCGTTGATAGAATTTTTGGGGTTGTTTTATCACAGCCTGCTGGCGCTACCTTTATGATCAAGCTGACATAACTTAGGCTGTTTGCCTCATGCCAAGCTGAGTGGGAAGTGCTTACCTATTAACCATCCTGAATCCTATGAATTTCAGGACTTTTTTTGTACAGCACTTCAGATCAAGAATGTCCTTTCAAAGCAAGTCTGATTGTTCCCATTTACTGTGCTGTGATTTTCATTGCAGAGTGATCCCAGAGCACGTGGCCTGGATGTGTTTTGGGTAAAACTAAACTGGAAAATAAACTCCAACCCCTAATGGGCATTTAGTCCACAAGATTAGAGTAGAGCTAGATCAAAGTGTTAAAAAGAGAGACATACAGATGCAGCCCCTGTGACCTGAAATAAATACAGGGTAGCTGTCCTGTACTCAGTCTCAGCACCACTTGTTTTGCTCAACAGATTTTCATCTTGTGGGTTCTCACTCCTTACTAATGTAGAGCTCACCTTCAGGTCCTCCGAGGAAACGTGTTATAATTGAGAAGCCTTCTTTCAGGGTTTCTGACAAACAGAAGGGTCAAAAAGAAAAATCAAAAGTCCACCTTCCCTTTTGCTTAAAAAGATGCTCAGGAAAGTAGATCATCCTTTTAAAAATAATTGGATCTTTTTTAATCCAAAATGTTATGTTTAAAGGTGTTACTTCCTTTAGTAACTTCCTTTAAAAGTACCATTTTAAAACGCTAGGAACATAATTATTTGTGATACCAGAACTTGTTTAATTTGATTATAGTGAGACAGATAGATAGATAGATATGTTTTAGAAGGCTGATTCTTGTGATGACTTTGTAGTGTTTCCTGTGCAGAGCATGCCACAACAGATTTACTTTAGAGTGTCTATGATAAATGACAGGCTGCTAATTTACACTGGCTACATGTGGCAATGGTGTTAAAAGTCTTCACTTCCTTAATTTAATTAAGGTAAATAGCCAGATTGGTTCAAATAAACACTTTTCTGTTGTCTGCCGTTCTTCTTTGCCTGATTTTAAAACAGGAATGTATCACTAGATTGTATTGGGTAAGATACCTCTTCTTTAGTTTTATGCATTTGTGATGTACAAGAAGAAAAAAATAAGGTTTATTTTACTGTACCCACACAAATTTGGTGAAGTCACAAGATTGATAACATTAATCCAATTTATTAGGTTGTTGCTAACTATTTGAGAGGAGAATGCAGAATTCAGATTGGGAAGTCAGTGACCATTAGTTCTTGAAGAAAAGAGATGGAAGCATACTTGGTTCACATCCAGTATGCCGTGGTTTGTTTTTCTTTTCAAAGTGTATGCAAATAAGTTAGCATATGTGCTATTGCTCCTATTTCTCAGCTTCACACTAACTAAAATTTTCAAGTATTGATCTTTAGAGTTATTCTTGATTGTCATTTATTTCTCCATATTGACACAAAAGGTGTGGGAAGGAGTTGCTGCATTGTACTCTGAATGAAACAGGAGTCAATGGGATAAAGTCTCTTTGGAAAAGTGTGTGCTTTTGATTTCCTGCAGAGAGACTTCTGAATCCCTTTGAGATTTAAATCTAGCATTGCTACGAGATGCTTTTTTAATGATGGCTCATACCAGTGAAGAGATCCTATCATCCTTTCGTTTGGGGTGCAAGAATCTCCCTGTCGTTTTTCCTTCCAGGTTGGCAGCATTTTGAACGGCATGTTAGATCAGAGTTTTAGGGAGCGTGCTGTACGCAAGCAGCAAGGAGTGAAACTGGTCACAGCTGTGCTAAGAAACTGGGACAAACTTGACAGCTGGTGGGCCAAAGGTGCAGCTCCCGAGAGCAAAATGGCAGTGTTGACCCTGCTGGCAAAAGTTCTGCAGGTATGTGTGGCTTTATAAAATCCGGGTAACTTTTCTAATTCTGTGGGAATTGTTTCTTGCTACTTCATTCTAATGTTTTATGTTCAGGGAGGGACAAAAGGAGAATATCAGAATCTGAATTTTATTTTTTTTTTATTTGCAAGTACAAAAAATCTTTGGATAGGCAGAAATGACTAGATTTTCCTCATCTCCCCCTCTTCCTTTTTTTTTTTTTTTTTTTTTAAACTGCTGTTATGTTTTAATTCCTCTTTTCCTCCTGGAGTATTGGTACAAGTGCAGAGAGTAAATTTTGAAACTGAGCAGTCTCTCATAACATTCTTTGTCGTATTGACATCCAGAAAGTCACAATGGAGGAGTTCTACCCATATCAACAGACTGCAGAAGGATCTTCGTTTTGAACACCTTTAATTTTTGTTACATTGGGGGTTTGGTCTTTTTTTTTTCTTTTCTTTTTCTTTCTCTGTTTTGAAAACATAATGTATATACTTATCCTATTGAGGATTTTTAGGAACTTGTAAAAGTAGCTATACACAAAAATACCCGTAGATCAGTTACTGAGATTTTTTTTTTTTCTTTTTTATAATGAATTATTTTAAACTTGAGTTGTTTTAAAGGTATCTATTAGGACACAGAATGTGAGCTGTGTTGCTTAGTGCTGTATTATCTGGCAGTGAAGTGACCAGTAGGAAATCTGGCTTTGAGAGGGAGCTCAATCGGTTTTTTTTGAACTGGAAAGTATCCAACATTATGATTTTGTTTGTTCTGTGTAGGAGCTTTTAGAATTCTTTTTGACAGTCCTTTTAAAACCAAAATCACTATGTATGTGCTTTCTGTTAATTCAGTGTATTTTTGGAAATAAACAATTCTATAGCTCATGGGGTTTTCATTGTTCATTAGTACAATGATCTCTTTGACTAGTTTTAAAAAAAGAAAAAAAAAATCCTGATTTTTTTACTTCTTCTGTCATTCCAGATTGACTCTTCAGTTTCTTTCAATACCAATCATGAAGCATTTACAGCTGTTTTTAATACCTACACCAGTCTGCTTATTGATCAGAATTTAGGCTTAAATCTTAAGGTAAATTGCCCACTTCAGTGGCTTCTCCACCTTCTCCAGATCAGAATATTAGCTGTTCATGAAATTCCTTGTTATTGGTTTTAAATGTTACCTTAATTTGCACAGTCACACGGACACCACTCCTGGTTTGTATTCTACTGTTCAACATCCTAAAAATTGTGAAACATCCTTTTTGTTCTCCAGACAGAAGGCAGTATCACAGATGTCATGTTTTGGGTTTAGGTGCTTTTTATTTTTTTTCTTGCTCAGATGAAAGGCATGTAATTTTGGCGGGAAAAAAATGGCTGTCAGTTGCAAGTTGTTTACAACTCTAAAGGGCTCATTTGAGAAGTGACAGCTAATCAGACTTTTAGCAAGGAGTGGCATTCCAGGTCAAATTACGAACATCTGCCATGATTTTAATGTCCGTGTCCTCAAGTATGAGACCAGTACTACTGGATTAACTGCTGTATGTGTTTTGGTCAGGAGAGGGAGGTAAAGGACTGCATGTGGAGAGTGTAAGTTATAAAAGATGCTGGAGCATAAGGTTTGGACTAGAAGATTAAAAAGCTTGCTAAAAGAACAATGAGGTCTTATCCCTAGCCCTGTGAGCCATGAGGTACTAATTAGCTTCTAACTCTCACTCAGCAGTGACCAAAGCTGTTTTCTGAACTAGCACCTGAAAGATGAGCAGCTACATAACCTATCTTTGTCAGTACCCTGAGCCATTGAGTCAGTAAGTGCAGCCACTGCTGCTGTTTCGTGGTCCTGTTCAGTTTACTTCATAGTTAGAGAATTTTTTTTTTTTGGTGTGAAACTTCATTATTTATTTTTTTTTTCTTCAGGGCCAAGCAATTATAATTCTCCCGTTCTTCACTAATTTGACTGGAGAAAAACTTAACGACCTTAAGAATGCTCTTGATCAACTTGTAGCTTCCAATTTTCCCATGAGGTCTGATGAGTTTCCCAAAGGAACCTTGAAGCACAATAACTATGTAGACTGCACTAAGAAGGTCAGTATGGTTAACAAATACATACGTTTGTCTAGAATTATGTCTCGAAACAATGTTTTACAAGATCTGGAATTAGAGAGACTCTCAGTTCACATAAGGAAATTAGCTTTTCTGTTTCTGAGTTATGTCTTTATCCAGAAGTTTAATGTGCAGATACACATTAAATAAAAATAACCTTCTGTTCATCTGCTTCTCATCAGTATTGAAAAATAATTACATAATTAGATTGAATTTATTTGATCCAGTGTGGCTCCTTATGTTATGCATTACTTCTTTTTCAGTTTTTAGATGCCTTAGAATTGTCTCAGAGTCCAACGTTACTGCAGTTGATGACAGAAGTCCTCTGCAGGGATCACAGACACTTCATGGAGGACTTATTTCAAGCCAGCTTCAAAAGAATTTCCAGAAGGTGAGTTTAGTCTGTTGGATTTTGCTGCTGTTCTCATTGTTGAATTTTTGCTGAAGCAAATGTGCTTCCTCTATTATGTTGTCCTTGTAATAGTGATGATTTACACCATAAAGTTTAACATAATAGCTTTAATTCAGATTTTGCTTTTGTCTTCACATTTCCAAAATATCTCTGAAGTGTGAACAAGTGGCACCAACTTCCAGATGACACTTGCAATACCTGGGCAAATCTTGTAAAGCCTTCTGTATTAGCTTGTTCTGACAGAATTCAGTTGCAGACAGTAATTGTGATACCTATATTTGCTACCCCTATATAACCACATGATCACTTAAGTTGATAGCACTTACACTGACAGAGAATTACTATGTTCAACCACTGTGAAAATACAACAGCACATTTATTTAATTAAATGTTTCCAGGCTGCTAAATTGTAGACACAATTAGTCTCTTCCAAACCAAACATTCCGATTCATGACGGGCTATTAAGTAGTGACTATTTTGGAGCATGTAGTTTCCTGGACAAAGTCATTTTACCTTATGCCCAAATCCCATTTTTGAAATTTTAGCTTTTATAAAGTTATTCAGAACAACAGTTGATCTGGTAGCAGAACACATGATAGGCCACAGAAGGGTAACAGTGAAGTGTCCTCCTTTTTTTCCTTCTTGTTTGTCTCCATCCTTCACGTGTACCAGATAATTTTATGGTTTTTTAGGTTGTTTGGTGAAAAGGAACTGAGAAAGCTTATGATTGCTTTTGGATTAAACTAACAAAGGTATATGAACAAGTTTACCTCTGTTGCAGAGTAAGAAGCTGAGATTTTATTTGGAGAGCTCCACAATAAGTGGCAGTTCAACCTGATCTTGCATGTCTTGTAGGATGATAACCCAAGAGGGTATGAATGCAGACAATAAACATTTGAAATGTCACGGGGATTTAAGACACAAGTCTGGTAAAAGAATTTTCATCTTGAGATTTCCATCTTATTTAGGAGCACCACTGACAAGCAAGTGATGCTGTTGGACACTGTTCACAAAATGTTCCAGAGTGAAGACCTTCTTTCAAACACTACTCGTCAAGCATTTATGGATCGCTCCCTCCTCACTCTCGTATGGCACTGCGATCACAGTTTATATGAAGTTTATCTCCAATGTCAACTGAAGAGTCCTGACAACTCAGAAAAAAGGGATTTTTTTTTTTTTGATTTTTTTTTTTTTTTTTTTTTTTTAGGATTGGGGAAGGACTAATAAAATGTCGGTGTTGGTCTGTACAGTTTGCTTAACTTTGAGTGAAACACTGATTGAAACCATTTGCTTTCCCATCTTCTGTATCTTGGAGCAGCAGTTTACTGTGCCAATTACATAGTTTGACCATTATTGAGAAACTTTTCTTTGTTCCCCAACACACTGTTCCTATGAAGTTAATGTATATGTTCACATATCTACGGTGAATAAAAACTGAAGTTGGAATGTTATCTCTCTCTCTCTCTCTCTCTCTCTCTCTCTGAAGTTCTGTCAAAAGCAAAACCCCGTTCTAACTTGGAAATATAAAAACTTTATGAAATTGTACCCTGTTATTACATTGTAGGAGAGAGAGATTTGACCTCCATAATGGAAGCTCTTAAATTAGGTGCCTGACTTGTAGAGAAAGAAATACATCTTCTAATTGTTGCAAAGGTCTTTCAGCAAGAGGTTAGGAGCACAGATCTTCCTTTCTCTATTTACAGCCTGTCCTCCAATTTAGAGTATAGTTACATGCAATGATTTCATTGTCAGTGGAAGTCTCTGCTCTTGATGTAGTTCTTGACTCCTGTGGTTTTGCTGATGCGGCTGTTTAAAGGCATCAGGACAAACAAGATACTAAAATGATCCAAATGTAGTAATAGTTATTGAAAACAAAAAGCTAAACCCAAGACTTATGTAGTCACCCCCACCATGCTGCTTTTGCTGTAAACATTGGCACCAAAGTGAGGTCCATGAAGAAACTTGTGAATGACACCCAGTATGGTGACAGGTTTGTGTGTTTTGCTTATGCCTGTCATGAGTCTGAGCTGCTGCTGGGTATTTTGCTTATTTTACTCCAATATCACTATAATGACTTAGGCCAACTGTAGTTAAGACAGCTCACCTGATACGGATCAGATCAACGTAATTTTAATAACTATTGCACAGGAACGCAGAATCTGTCAGTCTTTTATTATCAGCAGCTCTTTTTGCTGTTTTATAAAGGTAGAAGTGAGCTGAAAGCTCTTTAGTAGAAACTAGACTCACTCCACTAACTGTGGAGCTACTTAGGAAGGGCAGGATCCAGGAAATCTCTTTCTGAGGTTTTGCTTATTTGTTTCCAGTCCAATGAATATACTTTTGATACACAAGTCACCAAGAAAATGGGGTATTACAAGCTGCTAGAAGTGATGTACGTGCGTCTTTCAAAAGAGGATGTTTACTCCAAGGACTCTAAAATTAACCAAGCTTACCGTGGCTCCATGAGTGTCGAAGGGAATGAACTTACCAAAACTCTAATAAAGTAAGACTATTATTTCTTTTATTTCCTTTTAATTCCTGATTAGGTTTTGGGCAGATACATTTTTTTAAGTATGTCATATAAAGCAGAATATTGATTTGTTTAAGGGTAAATATAACATGTGATGTAGCTTTTGATTTTAAATGGAATACAGAATGTTGAATTTGCATTGATAGAATGATCTGTAGCGTAGACTACAGTCTAAGTCAGGATGACTTTTGCCTCCTG